CCCCTCCAGAACCCCCCCCTCAAGGCCCCCACCTCCACGCTATGCTGAAAGAGACCTGCTCCATTAGCAGCCCTCACCTAAATGTATTCCGAGTGACCTTCGCAAGAGTTTAATCTGTTTATTTTGGAGGGGCCATTTCCTTTCCTTTTTTTTTTGCCGCCGTTCTCACATTAAAAAGAAAAAGAAAAAGAAAGAAAAGAAAAAAAAAAAGAAAAGTTTCGGCGCATAAAACCCGCAGCGATGGGTTTCAAATAATAATAATTACCCACCCGACCGCTGCTCGCAGTAATCTAAGGACGTAGTCATAAAAAGTCAAAATTCCCACCATTTCATAGGCCCATAAACTCTTTTTACAGCCTCAGCTCTGCTCTGCCTTCCCTCTGGAAGCTCTGGAGGACCTGAAAAGTGCGCTTTATTTCTGCCATATCACGGAGGTGACACCCGAAATGTCCCAGCGGTTCCTTCCTCGCCCCCAGGACCCCGCACGATGCGGGGAGGAAAAGCTTTTCTCCCTTTCTGCACCCGTTTTCCCTTCGCTTTTCCCTTTCCTCAGCCTCCCAGCTTCAATCTGCGCCTCCCACACCCCCCCTTATATCCCTGCTTTTATTTTTTCCCCTTCCTGATTTGATTTTCTTTCTATCGTAGGGGTGCTGCTGCTGCTGGTGGTTGAGGGGGGGGGTTGATAAACAGAGGTGTGAATGCATTTCCACCTTCTCTCCGAGCTCCGCACGCACAAAAAGGTGCTGCCTGAGGCTGACACCGGGCTCAGCTCACGGAAATCGCCTTTTTTAAGCCCAAAGTTAGGCCGGGAGGTGCAGTCACACACGAAGCATCCTCGTGTCTTTCCTTTCCTCGACCCCCCCCCCGCAGTCACCCTAACACACACACAAACATCACCACCCCCAGCCCCACAACCCCGAGCTTTTCCAGGATTTGAAGCAACGCCGGCTCCTTTCTGTTGCAAGCTGGAGGTGCCGGGGGTTACCTGACCTTAACGCCGTCTTCCCCCCTCCCCATTTCTTCCCCCCACCCCCCCACCCCATACAAACACACCGTGTTCAAGGTTTCGCGAGGGATGTTTTTTGGTTTTTTTTCTTTCCCCCCCCCCTCCTTTTCTTTCTCTTTCTCTCTCTCAGGAGCTGCAGAAGGTTCTTCAAGTGTATGGTCCAATGTCCTGATGTCCTGCGCCCGCTGCCCCGTGCCCCCCACCGCTCGCCCCGTTCACTCCGTGCCACCGCTTCCCCAATTTTCCTCTTCACTCCTTCCTTCCCCCTTCATCTCTCTCTCCCTCCCACCCCCACCCCCCACACCCCCCCTCGGGGGTACCCACCTTTTCCTTTATTCCCACGTGCTAAGGGTATTTTAGGAACAATTGCACGGGTGCAGCAGCTCCTCTTGATTTTTCAGACAGATAAAAGAGCTTCCTCTTTTTTTTT